CCGTGAATCTGAATCTTACATTTGCCCTTTTAAATTACGGGGAAACCCTCTCAGTAAAATCTGTTTTTAAATTTTGGGCCCTTTGGGTTTTACGGGTAAAAATCTCAGTAAATTTTTGATCTTACTTTTGACCTTGAGTACAGGTAACATCTCATAAAATCAAAAATCTTAATTTAAACCTTGATACAGGTAACCCCTCAGTGAATCTATCTTACTTTTCTTTTTTCCCCTTAAAATTATGCAAAATCATTTTACCCAATCATCAAAATCAATGTTTTTCCCTATAAAGGTTGTTTGTACAAATTTAATAAAAAATAGGCTATATAGAAACAAAGGGGATTCTTTCTTTTTTGGGTCCCTCACTTTTTTCCCGGCTTTTGGGGGTAACCTTCTTCCGGGCTCAAATGGTGTAACCCCCCTAAATGGTGTCACCGGGGGGCCCCGGGCCCCTCCGCCCCCTCCGCTCCTCCGCTCCCTCCGCCCCCTCCGCCCCTCCGCCCCCCCTCCCCCCCCCCCCTCCTGCCCCCCCCGCCCCCTCTTACGACGCCTCTGGATCTCATGACAGAATTAGTACGAGAAAGGGGTTGTCTCCGACACGCTTCAGGAAGAGAGGAAAGGCAGTGAGAGGCAGCTTAGCCAGATACTACGCTTGGGCTATTGCCCAGGCTTATAATACAAAGATATTCAGTGCGCTATTGTGAATAGGAAACCTGCAGATTCAAGGCCGTCCTCTCATCATACAGAATGAGCGTATTGTTTCCAACGAATTATACAACGACGGGATATCCCCCCCAACGCCAGAGGTAATCCTGTGGTAATATATATAAATATATATATATATATATATTATATATATATATATATATATTAATAATATATATATATATATATATAAATAACGTAGGCCTTAGACAAGGATGTGTGATGTCACCGTGGTTGTTTAATATATTTATAGATGGGGTAGAAAAGAGAAGTAAATGCGAGGGTCTTGACAAAGGCGTGGAGTTAAAAGATAAAAAATCCACCACAAAGTGGGAGTTGTCACAGTTGCTCTTTGCTGATGACACTTTTGCTTTTGGGGAGATTCTGAAGAGAAGTTGCAGGATTGGTGGATGAATTTGGTAGGGTGTGCAAAAGAAGAAAATTAAAGGGGGAATACAGGAAAGAGTAAGGTTATGAGGAAAAACAAAAGATTAGGTGATGAAAAGATTGGATATCAGATTGGGAGGGAGAGAGTATGGAGGAGTTGAACGTATTCAGATATTTGGGAGTGGACGTGTCAGGGGAAATGGGTCTATGAAAGAAGGTGAATCATAGAATTGAAAAAGGGAAAAAAGAGTGAGTGGTGCACTTAGGAGTCTGTGGAGACAAGAACTTTGTCCTTGGAGGCAAAGGGGGAATGTATGGAGTAAAAGTTTTACCAACATCTTATAGGGGTTTGTGAAGCGTGGGTGATGAATGTTGCAGCGAGGAGAAGGCGGGGAGGAAAGTGGAGATGTCCGTCTGAGGGCAATGTGTGGTGTGAATATAATGCAAAGAATTCGTAGTTTGGAAGTTAGGAGGAGGTGCGGGGATTACCAAAACTGTTGTCCAGAGGGCTGGGGAAAGGGTTGTGAGGTGGTTCGGACATGTAGAGAGAATGGAGCGAAACAGAATGACTTCAAGAGTGTGTCAGTCTGTAGTGGAAGGAAGGCGGGGTAGGGTCGGCCTAGGAAAGGTTGGAGGGAGGGAAAAGGAGGTTTTGTGTGCGAGGGGGCTTGGACTTCCAGCAGGCATGCATGAGCGTGTTTGATAGGAGTGAATGGAGACAAATGGTTTTTAATACTTGACGTGCGTTGGAGTGTGGAGCAAAGTAATATTTATGAAGGGATTCGGGGAAACCGGGCAGGCCGGACTTGAGTCCTGGAGATGGGAAGTAAGTGCCTGCACTCTGAAGGAAGGGTTATTAATTTTTGCAGTTTAAAAACTGTAGTGTAAAGCACCCTTCTGGCAAGGGACAGTGATGGAGTGAATTGATGGTGAAAAGTTTTCTTTTTCGGGCCACCCTGCCTTGGTGGGAATCGCCAGTGTGATAATAAAAATAATAAAATAAATAAAAATATTTTATATATATAAAATATATATATATATATATTTTATATATATATATTTTATATATATGCAAAACAACCATCTGAAAGAATAGAAAATTCCAAGCGCTTTCGTGACTACTCACATTATAGTGATTCCCTGATAATGTGAGTAGTCACGAAAGCGTTTGGGAATTTCTCTATTCTTTCGGAGTGGTTGTTTTGCATTTTTTTGAAATCACCTGTTACTGTGATCTTATTGCATATTATATATATATATATATATATTTTAATATATATATATATATATATATATATATATATATATACCACAAATCCAAACAAATATTCTTTCTTCAAGCCTTTTTATTCATTTCTCCGAGGCTATGGGGTCCCACAATTTGAAACCAGAGGAGGACACCTCCTATATATATATATATATATATATAAAATATATATATTATATATATATATATATATATATATAAAATATTATTAACACACTGGCCGATTCCCACCAAGGCAGGGTGGCACGAAAAAGAAAAACTTTAAACCATCATTCACTCCATCACTTTTCTTGCCAGAAGGGTGCTTTAAAACTACAGTTTTTAAACTGCAACATTAACACCCCTCCTTCAGAGTGCAGGAAACTGTACTTCCCATCCCCCAGGGCTCAAGTCCGGCCTGCCGGTTTCCCTGAATCCCTTCATAAATGTTACTTTGCTCACACTCCAACAGCACGTAAAAGTATTAAAAACCATTTGTCTCCATTCACTCCTATCAAACACGCTCACGCATGCCTGCTGGAAGTCCAAGCCCCTCGCACAAAACCTCCTTTACCCCTCCCCCAACCTTTTCCCTTTAGGCCGACCCCAACCCCGCCTTCCTTCCACTACAGACTGATACACTCTTGAAGTCATTCTGTTTCGCTCCATTCTTTCTACATGTCCGAACCACCTCAACAACCCTTCCTCAGCCCCTCTGGACAACAGTTTTGGTAATCCCGCACCTCCTCCTAACTTCAAAAACTACGAATTCTCTGCATTTATTCACACCACACATTGCCCTCAGACATGACATCTCCACTGCCTCCAGCCTTCTCCTCGCTTTTCTGTTTCAGTCATCTGGCAGGACGGTAGTACTTCCCTGGGTGGTTGCTGTGTACCAACCACTATATATTTTATATATATATATATATATTTTATATATTATAGATATATATATAATATATATATATAAAAATAAGGGAGTAAGATTGGTAGACAGCAACCACCCAGGGAGGTACTACCGTCCTGTGGTAGTAGATTGGTATACAGCAGCCATCCAGGGAGGTACTACCTTCCTGTGGTAGTAGGATGGTAGACAGCAACCACTCAGGAAGGTACTACCGTCCTGTGGTAGTAGGATGGTAGACAGGCAACCACCCAGGGAGGTTACTAACTTTCCTGTGGTAGTAGGATGGTAGACAGCAACCACTCAGGGAGGTACTACCTTCCTGTGGTAGTAGGATGGTAGACAGCAACCACCCAGGGAGGTACTACTTTCCTGTGGTAGTAGGATGGTAGACAGCAACCACTCAGGGAGGTATTACCGTCCTGTGGTAGTAGGTTGGTAGACAGCAACCACCCATGGAAGTACTACCGTCCTGTGGTAGCAGGTTGGTAGATAGCAACCACCCAGGGAGGTACTACCGTCCTGTGGTAGTAGGTTGGTAGACAGCAACCACCCAGAGAGGTACTACCGTCCTGTGGTAGTAGGTTGGTAGACAACCACCCAGGGAGGTATTACCGTCCTGTGGTAGTAGGTTGGTAGACAACAACCACCCAGGGAGGTACTACCGCCCTGTGGTAGCAGGTTGGTAGACAACAACCACCCAGGAAGGTACTCCCGTTCTGGGGGTGGGTAGGTTGGTATGACAACAACCCCCCAGGGAGGTACTCCCGTCCTGTGGTAGTAGGTTGGTAGACAACAACCACCCAGGGAGGTACTACCGTCCTGTGGTAGTAGGTTGGTAGACAGCAGCCACCCAGGGAGGTACTACCGTCCTGCCAAGTGAGTGTAAAACGGAAACCTGTAATTGTTTTCAATGATGGTTAGGATTGCTGGTGTTTTTTTCTTTGCCTCAAAAACACTCAAGACAACAGGTAAGTGTTGCTACTTCTACTTACATGTATGCACACTGCATATACATGTACACGCATACGTATACACACCGATCTGAAAAATTAGTTGTATTTGACAAGCCCTGAAAACAGTGAATAGACCTGTCCGTTAAATGTTTAATTGTAATTACCCAGGAAATAGAATAGTTGGAGATTTCTCTAAGAGTGTTTTTATATGTTTTAAAGTTGTATTAAAGCTAATTCAGTTTATGTTAAAAAGAGCGGAGTGGAAACTCTCGTGTCATATTAAGCTCTCAAGTGCTAACGGATTTGAAATAACATCCCTAGACTAAGTGTTGCTGAGTCTAGAAAAAGTGTTAACATTGGTTGCTCCCAATGTAATTATCTAACTTAAACTAGCCGGTGTTCTGATTAACTATCCCCTCAAGGAAGGTTCCTTGATGTTGGTGAGGGGCTCTTGATTTAGGGAATTGAATCTGTGCTCCAGTTCCCCGAATTAAGCCTGAATGCCTTCCACATCCCCCTCCAGGCGCTGTATAATCCTCCGGGTTTAGCGCTTCCCCCTTGATTATAATAATAATAATAATCTGATTAACTATCATCCAAGAATGTTAACAGTTTTCACATACTAAATGAGTGACTTGTTTTAATGATTAATTTATTAAAGAAATAATGGAAACATTATGTGAGTATTAAGAAAATAAAGACCAAAGAGAAGTGGTAAACATTTATTATTCCTAAGAAATTTGGAAATCAAAGTAATTTTATTTAGAGAAAGACTTATTCTTTTTCGCTTGTTACAGAAACAGCCATAACAGGTCAAGACAGGGCCCCTGACGTAACAAATGGGGGCCTTTCGGGGATCCAGTCTGATCCAAGGTGTTGGAATAGCTGCCCGTCAAGGTGGATTATTGCTGGCGCTGCTCTGATATCAATAATTGCACCATGGAGGCTCAAATACAGCAGTTGACAGGTGAGTTAACCTTGGCAAAATTAGACATTGAAACTTAAGGGGTGTTGGCAAATTGCTAAGCAGTTGGGCGTGACGTATAATAGGCTATACACCGCTGAGACAACCCTGTCTGTCCTAAGGAATATTTTATTCCCCATACAACCGGAGGCTTCTAAGTCTCTGGACTCAGACGAGGAAAGTCTGATGTCTCAGTTAGATCACATGTCTTTGTTAGAAGACCTAGAAAGATCGATTGAAGCAGGAGAGCCAGATCCTAGAAGTATTCTAATTTCCTTACCCTCTGGTAGTCAGGCGGGTCCAGAATCGAAGAAAATAACTGGTAATTTGGCCTCCCCTGCTGAAGGGTGTTTAACAGTGACAACTAATCACCTAATTCATAACTCTGATACTCTAGGAATACCTGGCGGAGGCGCTCGACCAAAAGAAGGGCCTAAGAGACTCCCCCCCCCTACTCCTTCACTGCCCCCTGGGCCCGAGACTAATTCGAGAGGATGGAACGACTCATTACCCTGCAGACGGCCCAAATAGAGGATCAAAAAAGAAAACTGAAACGAAGAAAAGTTTAATAGGGAAACTATCTGCTATAAGCTTCAGCAGCAAATAGAAGGAGTCGGGAGGTCGGGGATCTACGAAAACCTATCCTTCGATATACATAGAGCTGTGTCTCTAGTGCCCGATTTTGATACGTACTTCGACACCTTTTAAAATCAGACTCGGGCTACGCAATGGCCCCAGAAATGCTGGGCTACCCTACTTCATGCAGATCTTACCGGAAAAGCTCGAAAGTGTACGGCCTCCTTGCCCTACGAGAAGTACATTTAGAACGACATCATCAACAAGGTAATCTTGGAAACCTATAATTTGCTCCCCATCAGTTACCAACGAGCCTTCCGAACGTTACAGAGACTACCAGGACGGTCTTGGGTAGACTTCGCACGCCAGAAGAAAGTTGCATTCGAAAGGTGGCAGAGGGCCTCGAATTTCGAAAACTTAAACCAACAAGCAGTCCCCGTTTCATTGATATTTCAAGAGGATTTTTATAATTTCTATATCCGAAGATTTGGCGAAAATTCCTTATCGAACCAAAGACATCGGGCGTTATGGAAACCGCCGCCCTGGCTGAAACATTATGATATTTCCCAGCCAACTAATCTGTGATAAAGCTCCCCAGAGAAAGAAGTGAAAACAGCCAAGGGAACGGCAGCGTCGTCGAGAGAAGGGTTCGGTAAAAATTTCCTCTGGATGTAGCCGCTTTAGCACCTTTTCCAGCCTAGTAACAACGTTAATCTGTACCTAGCGTAAACCCAAAAAGCAAAAAAAGCATGGAAGAGAATAACATGTACCTATCGCCATAGAAGAGGCACAAAAGAGGCCACTGCTATTAGGAGGAAAAAGATATGGAAATAAGGACTAGAAGGGGCACCAATAAGTGGTTTCCATGTCTCAAGAATCAGGAAGATCTGTTTAAAGGTCGCGGCAGGGTGGGTCAGAAAACTTTTCTCCAAATACAAGCCACCGGGGAAATATCAGAAAAGAAAATCCTGGAAAGAACTGGATCCTTATTTTTCCAGCAGAAAGCAGGAATTGAGAATCTCGAATGGGAAAATCACAACATACGAGATAACTGAAGTTATACTTCCATTAAAAAGACCAGACATGCACAAAGACAGATAACTCCTAGAAGCTTATGGAGGATACGTCTCCAGAGTTTCTCTCCACAGGTGTACCTGAAAGTAAGTAATTATGAAGGATACGCTTTCTGTTGGTATATCTGACTAAGGATTTCCCACAAATCAGTCGACCCTACTGATAGGTAGCGACTTAGGCCACGAAGGGATCAGTAAAGAACCGTAAGTGATAGGGGCACAACCCCTTAGGTGAGAATTACGCCGTCGAAGCTTATAGGCAAGAACCATCTTTATTTCCACTTGAAGTTATTGCGAGAACCATGGCGAAGTCCCAGCAAATTCCTTCTACGGCTGAGAAAAAGGAAGACAGTGATGGGTTGGGTATGGAACTATTGTTTAGCGAGACTCACTGGCCGAAATCCAAGGCTTCGGAACCTTCGAGACTAACTTCAAATCTAGATTCCTTGTGTATTAAAAACTTTAAGCAAGAAGATTTGATCTGAGGGCAACATGAAGATCCTTCTCTAGATGAGGTAAGAAAATTAGTGGTTAAGGAAAACGAGGTAGAGGATCTAGAGGATTGCTTTTAATATAGGGTAGAGCTTCACCCAGGGTAAGGAATATATTAGCCCTACCCGTTACTTTCCGTGAACTGGTCATGGGAGTCGTCCTCAATAGCCCTATGGGGGGACACTTGGGAATAAGGAAGACGTTGGGAAAATTACCGAAATACTTCTTTTGGCCAAGAATGAGGGAAACAGTGGTGGATCACCTCCGGCTCCTCTCATTTCTCCCCTCAAGGAAGGTTCCTTGATGTTGGTGAGGGGCTCTTGATTTAGGGAATTAGATCTGTGCTCCAGTTCCCCGAATTAAGCCTGAATGCCTTCCACATCCCCCCCCAGGCGCTGTATAATCCTCCGGGTTTAGCGCTTCCCCTTGATTATAATAATAATCCTCTCATTTCTATCGCCGCGAACGGCGAGCCGTTTTCCCGCCTAATTATAGGGAATCAGTACCTATTTACAATAATGGACACCGCTACCCGGTACCCAGAAGCCATACCCATGAAAAGAATAAATGTTCGGGCGTATTCGAGCGCTGGTTAAATTCTTCTCGCCAGTAGGGTTACCACATGAAAACCAATCCTACCAAGACCTCAATTTCACCTCCAAGGTCTTCCGGGATGCCTTTTCACGTCTCGGGATAAAATCTGTGCTCGCAACCAGTTATAGACCCCAGTCCCAAGGAGCCCTCGAGAGGTTCCTTCAGACTTTGAAAACAATGATGCGCTCATATTGTGATTCCTTTTCTTCTCTTTGCTGTAAGAGAAAGTTAACAGGAAAATCTGGGGTGTAGCCCTTTTCATTTAATATACGGTCATTGAGTAAGTGGGCCTCTTGCAGTATTGAAAGACGTATGGATGGGGGAAAAATTAAAGCCGTCTTTACGAGTATCTCTTTTAAAGCAGGAAAATCTGTCCTTTACCAAGGACTTAGCCGTGACAAACTTACCAGAAGCTCAGGCTAAAATGAAACAATGCTACGATAAACAGGCAGTCAACCTCTCATTCCGGGTTGGAAATAAAGTTTAAGCGCAAAAATTAGTGCCTGGACACGCTTTGCAGCCAAGATACTAAGGTCAATTTGAGGTAGCATGAAAGCTAAGCGAAGTAAATTATCGGTACGCACGCAGGAAAAAAGAAAGTCAACCATTTTTGGTCATAAAAATTTAGTTAAAGGAATATCATGGAGGAATAACCAACTCGCTGTGCCCCCGAATTCGAGAAGTGTAGTTTTCCGGGGACTTTTTTAAGGGATAGAATTCGTTTAAAAACTAAAGGGGGTTGGGGGTTTGGACATTTTTAAGGGACCAAAGGTGTAGGGCTGAAGAAGTAAAGGAAAATTAATTAAGTATTCGACCTTTTTTTTGGCAAATATTTGGCGACTATTTGGCGACAACCCAAAACTTTTGTACGTGGGAACCCACGTGGGATTCCAAAGGGCGTCTCGCCAATAAAAAGCTCCTTAATTGTATTAATTTGGTAAAATTTACCGACAATATGTTAAGAAAAGGGTTTGGAAAAAAGCCCCTGGAAGCAAAACGTTGCCAAAAAAAAAGTCAATTAGTTGACTTGTGTCCCCTTTTACTTAACAAGCCCTTTTACGCCTGGGCCAGGAAAATAAGGCGTTAAGGGAAGAAATGGAGTTTCTACTGTCACATGGGCTAATCGAATGAAGCAAAAGTCCTTGGACCTCTCCCTGTGTTTAAGTTCCGAAAAATGTTCCGGATGGATTCTCTTTGCCTCGAGTAGATGACCTAATAGCTAGAGTCGCTGGAGCCAAGTATGTGAGCCGACTGGACTTGCTAAGAGGCTACTATCAAGTACCTGTCTTCACGTGAGGGTTTATTCAACTATCTGGTTACCACTACGTTTCAACGACTACTGAATAATCTAACCTATGACTTAGAGTCTTAGAGGGAGTAGAAGCCTACTTAGATGACTTGGTGGTTATCAGTAATGAGCGGGAACAACATTTATCCCGTTTAGAAGCTCTTATTAAGAAGTTGGAAAGTTATAATTTTTCAGTCAACCTGACCAAATGTAAATTTCGGCAGGCCAAGATAAAGTATTTGGGTTTCAATATAGACCAAGTTACGATGGCTCCCACTGACGCAAAAGTTAGAACCATTTCAGAATCTCCCATACATTAAGATAGGAAAGGGGTACAGAGGTTCTTGGGTATGACCGGTTACTACAGAAGATTCTGTCCTAACTTCTGTCAAGTCGCATGCCAGTTTTTGTGCTTACCAGTACTAAAAGTAAATTTCTCTGGTTATAGGAATGTGATCTGGCCTTCGGTAGGTTGAATCGCTTACTTTATTCAACTCCAGACTTGCACATAGGCGCCAGTAGCTATGCTATCGAAGCGGCGCTGCTACAGCCATCATCGTCCCCCGATATCCTCCATCCAGTAGCTACATCTCCACTAAACTAAAACCTCACCAAAACAGTTATGCTACAGTGGAGATAGAAGCCTTAGCTTTAGTTATATCCTTTGAACATTTTGATGTTTATTTAGGCACTTCTCATAAGATCAGTCATTCTGATCACAATCCTTTAACTTTCGCTAATTCAGTGAAATCCAAAAACGCTAGAATACAGAGATGGGCACTCAGGATTCAGTCTTTTTTCCATACGAATTCTTCACATAAAGGGCAGACATAATGTCGTTGATGAAGCATTGTACCGTTCTTAAGACTAGGTCAAAGATAAATTAAAACAATATCCATTTTCTGAGGCCTTCTAGAGTTAAAGGAATTAAGACTAGTCTCTACCTACATTAGTAACCTATATTTAATATTTCAACTTTTTCACCTTCAGTGGTGTGATAATGATAACGATTACAGGACTGTAAAGAAGAGTGGAACTAAGATATTAGAGGTTGAGGCAGTATGTCCGGACGCTGCTTGAACATCGGCATTTTTGGTCCTCCCAGTAGTCTACACGGCCCCTCGATGTCACTGGAAATTGGCTTCAGAGTCTTTGATTCTAATGAGGCAGACGTCAGGCTAACTACATCGTCTCCGTATCGATCGATTCCCCGAAAGTTTAAAAAACCCTGAGGTTGACAATGGAATACTCAAGAAGGGAAGAAGAGTGTCCCATCTTTCTCAAGGTTGTAATCAAATAAAATGCCTATGTCTGATAAAATAGGGCTTGGAGATTATGATAGAATAGGGCTATAGTGTAATTCGATTTATGGTGCGACGGTCTGTCGTACGGGAGGAGTGCTACACCCCTGGTTGATAAACCCGAACAGGTGCGATAGAAAATGCGTACGTCTGCCTTTTTCACTTAATGTTATATTATCTGTATTTTCATTTACCACACTCGTCTTACTCATGGGTATCTCATGGAGAGGCACCCTGTTCCTCTCTGTGAGCAGTGTCAAGTTCCAGTATCGATTAGCCACATTCTGTTAGACTGCCCTCTCTATCAACGAGCACGCAGAATTTACCTCTAACGTCGTCTTCGGTCTACTACTCTCTCTTTACCTTCCCTTCTTGCTGATGGACCCTCCTTTAATCCTGACTCTCTCATTGACTTCTTGACAACGACTGATTTTCTCCACAAACTCGGATGATACTTTTCGCACTCCCCTCAGCCCTTTCTAGTTCAGTCTCTTGCTGCCCTTTACCCTTTCACCATCCACTACCCCGCTGTTATCCGTAACCTATTACTCATCCATCTCCCTTTTGCCACCTGATGCCCTCGCTTCCTTCCTGCCTTGCAGCGCTGTATAGCCCTTGTGGCTTAGCGCTTCTTTTTTGATTATAATAATAATAATAATGTATTTTCATTTATAGTTAAAATGAATATATTCTGCTTTATAACATTAACTGGCTGCGAAATAATTAACCATGTTAATAGGTAGGAAATATTTTGTACATCTAAACCACTGGTACAACCACGTTAAGTACCAGGAGGCAGTTTGAGTCACCCAACCTCGCCCATCAGTCCGACTGTCAAGGAAGCCTCACCTGACTCAGTTCTTACCCACCTCTGGTAGGGAAAGTATCTCGTATATTGAAGCTTGGATTTAGCCTCTGCTTGAGGATTTAGAGAGGACCCAGGAACTTTAGATGGGCCCCTTGAACAGATGTCTCTTGGACTGAGAGGTAGTTGAAGAATTAGTTGTATTTGACAAGCCCTGAAAATAGTGAATGGATCTGTCCGTTAAATGTTTAATTGTAATTAACAAGGAAACAGAATAGTTGGAGATTTCTCTAAGAGTGTTTTTTATGTGTTTTAAAGTTGTATTAAAGCTTATTCAGTTTGTTAAAAAGAGCGGAGTGGAAACTCTCCTCTTAAGTGTTAAATAACATCCTTAGACTAAGTGTTGCCGAGTCGAGAAAAAGTGTTAACATTGGCTACTTCCAATGTAATTATTTAACTTAAACTAACCAGTGTCCTGATTAACTATCATCCAAGAATGTTAACAGTTTTCACTTACTAAATGAGTGACTTGTTTTAATGATTAATTTATTAAAGAAATAATGGAAACATTATGTGAGTATTAAGAAAATAAAGACCGAAGAGAAGTGGTTAACATTCATTATTCCTAAGAAATTTGGAATTCAAAGTAATTTCATTTAGAGAAAGACTTATTCTTTTTCGCTTGTTACAGAAACAGCCATAACAGGTCAAGACAGAGCCCCTGACGTAACAAAGAACACGAAAAGGAGTTTTTGCAACCACACTCACACCTTTATCAGTTTAAGCAGCCTTTTTCAACAGTTCAAATCTATTAATCTGCTGCTAACAAGTGAGTTCATATTCTGTGTTAATGTGGGCATAAGTAGAGAAACTTAAGCATTGACAAAATGTAGTTTTTTTTATTTTTTATTTTTTTTTTTGCTATAGCCACTGTCTGAGATAGCTTCCTATGGCCCTATCATACTACGCTAGGAAGGGCTATTAACTCTGTATGCCTTATAATTTTCCTTATTATTTTAGCATAAATGATACCTGTATATTGTATAATTAGAATCAATTGTAAGAATAGTGATAATTTAAGGTGTGAATGATTGTTTATGACCCATGTAACTACCCTATGGCAGCCTTGTTCAGCTTTATACTAGCCTATTTTATCCTGCCTCTTTATAAATCAGTTTTCCTTTTAATATCTTACTAGATTTCTGCTGTTAGTTATCAGAGATGTAAAATAAGACTGTCTCTCTGGTAATCTTTTCTTTATCTTTGATCTACACTCTTACTCTTTATTTCTAACATTTAAATCTTCTAACCTATCTTTTATGTTAATATTATTTTATTAAACATCTACTTTTGCTTAACTATGTTTTTTCTGTAATTTACCTTCTACCTGAAACTCAACCTAGCTTGTCTGTATCTTTGCTATGTTTCATCATATCCATGCTAGCATATGTTTCACGTCTGTGTATTTGCTAAATTTATAATATATATATATATATATATATATATATATATATATATATATATATATATATATATATATATATATATATATATTATATATATATATATATATATATATATATATATATAATGACTTAAACTAAAAATGTTCAGGTTAGCATAGACACCACTATGACCACAAATGCAAGTTTTTACAGACGAATCTCCAGCTAGCGTGGATTATGCTAACCTTCCTATGGTGTAGAAATATACCTAGTTGGACGAATCTTATTGAGCTAGCTGGTCCAGTGGCTAACGCGACGGTCTGGAGTTTTGAGATTCTCTAACCGCGGGTTCACACCCCACCCGTCGTATGGTTTGTTTGCAATCGTGTCATTACGATTAGATTTCTTATTTTTTTTATTAGTGTATAATAATCTTTTATCAGTGAGTTATATAATTTATATTGTTTAATGAATATGTACTAGTGTCCTGTTAATCATGTTCCTCCCTAATTTTTCTTGTAAGATCTTTGTGTGTTTCGTGACTAAACAAGCAAATACTTACAGGTTTAGCAGCAACTAGGCACCCCTTCCCCCCCCCAAAGAGATATCTAAGAATTAGTAGGAAAGGATATAGTTACTGGAGACCCAGAAAACTCTAGTCCCGGAGGATCAGATCAGGCTTGTAATCTGGGATTCGGAAGATCTCAGTAGCAGCCTGAAAAGAAATGTATCAAAGCAATGAATCAAGGGCGGTAACCCGTGACAGTATGTTAAGGCAAGGGAGCTCCTTGAGAACTGTGTGCGGGTGTAGTTCTAATATTAGTTAAGCTTGTTCTAATATTTCATGTTTTGAGATTGCATATTTCTCTTTTGTTGGTGCCATGACTTCCGATTCTCTTGTTGTGAATGTATGTTTATTAAATTGTAAGTTGTTTATCTGGGTATGTTTTGCTTCCCTCTTTAAGCCAGGTATATAAGGTCTATTTGTCAGTATTTAAAATGCACACTGTGTTAATTTATATTTTCACTGGAGAGTCGAGTCCCTGATAAGGTACCTACTGCTCAGTTCTCAGGCCAGGCTACCCTAAGAGCCAGTACTTATCAGGACCATTGCCTTGTTATAGCTATCCTGACTTATTTCTCGCTGGTTTTTTCCTGTTCTAACCCAAGTTCCGTGACTCGCCTATGACTTCAGCTACGTCATCTCTTCCACTGTTAACGGAGCAGATGGTGGCACCATACTTCTGAGAGAATAGAGTACTACCTTCTTTTTCTCTCAAATTTTAGTAATTTCCCCTTATGTTTGTTTCCCATACTTTTGTCCACTATGAGTCTCGTTCTGTGGGAGTAGACAATATGGCATCGTCTGGTGCTCTGTCGACCCTAGGGTGGGACTTCGGCGGGAGCTGCGTTTCACAAAGAGGGGGGGGGAGGTGCAAATGCAAGACAGTTATCCTCAGAGTGGTGTGTTGCAGAGGTACAAGAAGAGGAGGAGGTGCAGGAGCAAAACACAATTACCCTCAGGGTGGTGTGTTGCAGAGGTAAGGGAAGGAGAGGAGGTGCAGGCGCAAGACACAATTATCCCCAGGGTGGTGTGGTGCTTCACACACGGGACAGATGCACCAGTCTCATTACTCACAGCCTCCAGCTCCGCCTTACAGCGCCACCTCCAGCAAGGGGATCTTTGCTCTGGCTTCACAGTGTGTGTGCTTCATCCCTCCTCAGAGCATGATAATGAAGCATCCGGCTGAGAGAGCATTGCCGCCGGATGTTATCAGTCTTTGTTTATTATGGAACAATGCTCAGATTAACTTATATATTTTTCTCTTTACAGCTAACAAGTTTAGAGTCGGGGAATGGTATTTTTTTTTAACTCAGTTTAGTCTGGAAAAGAAAACAGATGTCATCCCAAATAATATCATTACAAAATCCTGCCTCACCTTAGGTAACCTTCACTTAACATAAAGGAGGAACACTGCAGTAAACCTACTGGCCCATACTAGGCAAGTCCGTCTCAAACCCAAACCCACTAACTTTCCTCATGATGCTGCTCAGTTGTCAATCAACTGCACATTAATATTTCTATATGTATCAGCATGAAATTAAGACATGTGTGCAATATCTGGGTATCTTTATTGTAGACGTTTCGCCATCCAGTGGCTTTATCAATACAAATTCCAGGACATAACTTGAAGACAGTAGAACTATGTACAGAAGATGAGGTAATCAGTCCCTCAACCTTGGAGTAGGTGCGAAGAGCACCGTAGTCGTGGAGATTTTTGAGATTTCTTCTGCTTCAAAATCTCCACGACTACGGTGCTCTTCGCACCTACTCCAAGGTTGAGGGACTGATTACCTCATCTTCTGTACATAGTCCTACTGTCTTCAAGTTATGTCCTGGAATTTGTATTGATAAAGCCACTGGATGGCGAAACGTCTACAATGAAGATACCCAGATGTTGCACATGTCTTAATTTCATCTTGTCGGTATTATATACCATTCTTACATGTATCAGCATATGAGATATCGAGCTCGTGTTCTTTCGATTGTAAGCCTTTTTCGCTTTCCCTTTACTCCTACCACAATAAACTCATTATCCTGTTATCATAGCCATTTATTATTATTCATCTTACAACATTTTGCAACACAAGCAATGCATGTTTCGCCCGTATTCCCTCTTAGCACAAAACTGTTTGCCAGCGAGGCTTCAGACAGCCTAAGGACAAGTTGTATGAGCTGAGCTTAGAAAAATTCTATCCTTGAAATACAATACTACTACGGGATTCTCAGGAAAAATTCAAACTAGTAAAGACGTCAGATAAAAGAACACATTTACAACTAATGCAACATTTTATTGTGGCAACGTTTCGCTCTCCAAGAGCTTAGTCAGGCCGTCACTTGGAGAGCGCTACGCTGCAACAATAAAATGTTAGTTGTACGTGTCCATGTACTTAGCAGGAATAAAAGGTCACAATACCGTGACTGGAACAATGCACAGATAACCTGCACATAGGGGACAGAAACTTATGACGACGTTTCGGTCCGACTGGGACCATTAACTAGTGACACACTAACACACGAAGGTAAGGGAGCCACGTAGTTCTTTCTTCTTCTTCCTCTCTTTGTCCCGTCCCTGCCCTCGTGTGTGTGTGTGTGTGTGTGTGTGTGTGTAATATATATATATATATATATATATATATATATATATATATATATATATATATATATATATATATATATTATATATATACACCGGCTCTTTTACCTTTCGGTCCGAGTTGGAGCGAAACATAGAAGTTTTTCCTCATATGTGTGGGGCTATTTGTGTATTTTACCTAGCATATTATGGGTAATTATACCCACATTATTACAGGTGTGTGAGAGCTTTAGAAAGGTAAGCTCCATCACATAACAGTAATGTTTCACGTATTGCCAGGACTTGGGAGAGAAGCCCTTCGACGACGTTTCGGTCCTTCCTGGGCCTTTATCAAATCACAACTGCTGTAACAAGTCAAAGTTGTGACGTGATAACCGCCCAGGGCAGACCAAAACGTCGTTATATGGTTCATCTGCCAAGATCAAATAATTTGTGAATCTTTCCGGCCACGGTTCTGTAACTATTAATGTTTCGATAATTTTTGTCTGGACAATAATAATAATAATAATTAATAATACAAATAATAATTTATACAAATTCATGATGCAACTTATACAGACCATAGCTGACATCAGTGACGTACTATACAGAAAGCACCTGGTTAAGCAGAGCATTTCGGACAAAAGTTAATTTTATCCCCAGGATGAGACCCACACCAGTCGACTAACACCCAGGTACCTATTTTACTGACAGGTGAACAGGGACAGCAGGTGTCTTAAAGAAGCACGTCCTTTTCGCTCAAGTCATGTAAACTTTGAGTGAAATTTTGTTCAATACGGCCTGCTCTTCGGTAAATGTTGACACATCGTCAGATAGGAGAGAAATGGCAGCGGTTTAGCGAATGATGTAGCATCCGTCATGGCCTCAGCCTGGAGGCAGAGGCTGAAAATATGGTGTTTGTGGACGGGAGATTGGCAAGAGTTGTGCATTCACTGACTTAATAGTCAATCACTTCATCACATAATGGATGGGACCGCCACCCAGTGTGTGTAGTGGTGGGTTTGGGTGGAGGTTGGTGTTTCGTGGTGGTTTCTGGCAGTAGGGGTGTATGTGGTGGTAAGTGGTGGTTTTTGGCGGTATGTGGTAGTATTTGGCGGAATATGGGTATTTGGTGGTATGTGGCGGTATATGGTGGTATTGGTGGTAAGTGGTGATATGTGGCGGAATGTGGGTATTTGGTGGTCTGTGGTGGTATGTAGTATGTGGCGGTATGTGGTAGAATGTGGTGGTAAGTGGTAGTATATGATTGTATGTGGTGGTATGTGGTGGTATATGGTGGTATGAGGTAGTATATAGTTATATGTGGTAGTATATGGTTGTATGTGGTGGTATGTGTAGTATGTGGTGGTATGTGGTGACTTAATGGCGATGAATGACGGTCAGGCTTCAACTAATTGCAACTGAAGCTGAATATAATTAATTGCTTTTTAAACTAATTGTAATAAGTGAATATTTAGACTAAAAAGTAATTATAATTGATTGTTGTCAAGCTTAAATACCAGCTTAAATCACATCATAAAACTGGGGCGCTATTATAAGCTAATGACAAAATGAAAATACACGACAGAGGGTTCGTAAATGCACGTTATGTGATTCTCGTTGACCCACGAAATCGTAATAACACATTTGCAAACAAATCACGAATTTCCAATCGTGTTATTACGATTTCGTGGTTCCTAATAGCCACGCTAGCGTGAGATTCGCCTCCATCTGTACTTAGTGGTGGCCCATGCTAACCTCTCTGTTGTATAGGAATATACCTAGTTGGACGAATCTTATTAAAGCCAGCTGGCTCAGTAGTTAGCACACTGGCCTGTAAGCTTTAGGAGTCACTTGCGATGGTTTCGACCCCCACTCCCACCCTCTCCGTGATTTATGATGACGTAGGTACTAGGACTATCGGAGAGTTTTTCCTCCGATGATGTTCCCTCTGAAAAAATAATCGCAACTGCAACGATAGTTTGCACTGCAACTTCAGCACCGTCAGTGCTTTTAAAGCAGCAGGAATTTGGTTTATACCAGGAAGATGCAGCCAGGATTTGCAGCCTTTCCTCAACTGATGAATCTCAGATGAGAAATTCACTAATACCTTCCATGACTAACTCATCATGAAATATGATGCCTATAATTATAACCTTAATTTTTAAAAGGGTGGACCGGTAAGCCAGCGTAAAGCCTCTGTCAGATGACCAAAAGCTCCTGCTATGGGTCATCGTATGACCAAAAGCTCCTGCTATGTGTCATCGTATGACCAAAAGCTCCTGCTGTGGGTCATCGTATGACCAAAAGCTCCTGCTGTGGGTCATCGTATGACCAAAAGCTCCTTAATTTTTCGAATTTGAACCTATTACTGCGAGTTCTGTCTTAGGCAAGATATTTATCCCAAGTTATTTACATCCAGAGGGCTGAGAAGGACTTGAGATCGTTCAGACATTTATAAAGGCTGGAACAAAATAGAATAACTTGGAGAGTGGAAAAATCTGTAGTGGGAGGAAGGCGGGGAAGGGTCGTCCTAGGAGGGGTTGGAGGGAGGGGGTAAAGGTGGTGTTGTATTAGAGGCAGGTGTGTGCGAGTGGAGGCAAATGGTTTTATGACTTGTCGTGCTGTTGGAGTGTATCAAAGTAACATTTTTGAAGGGATTCAGGGAAACCAGTTAAGTCGCACTTGAGTCCTGGAGGTGGGAAGTACAGTGCCTACGCTCTGAAAAAGCCCAGGAACTGCAGTTTTTTAACTATAGTCAGCACTCTTCTGGAAAGAAATTAATAGAGTAAGTGATAAAAATGTTTTTAATTTTTCGGGTCACGCTGCCTCGGTGGGAAACGGCCGATGTGTTAATAAAAAGTAAGAAAATAATTATTTACATCCCCTTGCTGAAATCCATATACACACAATCATATTTATTACCTTGATTTATTTTAACGTGGCTTCGAATAGCCTCGGCAGGTATTGATTCCATCAATTTTCCCACAATGGAGGCTTGTCTAATTGGTCTATAATTCCTAGCTAACAACCTGCTGTTTAGATAAGTATCCCATCTGCCATTTTCCACTTATACCAGATTCTGCCAAATTCATCCTTACATACCTTTAAAACTCTTGTGAACAGTTCATAAGGGGGCTCAGGGATTTGTTTGGTTTTAATCTGGCTATTGATCTGAGAACCTTGTCATTAGTGACTCTGATCGTACATAATTAATTTTCGCTCTGTAAAGAAGTCTGTGAAAATACCTATTAATTTATACTTTTTCCCGCAGCAACTGTGGACGACAACACCAGGTATCAGACGACACGTATCAGCGAACAGAGATGTATGTCGCACCTACACGGGTAAGTCGAGAGCTAAGCTAGTAATTTCTAAGCTAAACAAAGACGTGAGAAAAGACATAAAATCTGCCCTCATGCACACGAGACACACCACAGCGAAGAACCAGAGTACCTTTTAAAGTTGTCGCTAAATTAGATTTATATATTACTTAGCATGCATCGTGACCTGACATAACACATGTCATCTACACCTCTTCTTGCACCCTCACTAATATATATATATATATATATATATATATATATATATATATATATATATATTATATATATATTATATATACATATATATAAAATGTCGTGCCGAATAGGCAGAACTTGCGATCTTGGCTTAAATAGCAACGCTTATCTTGCCATATAGGACAAGTGAAAATTTCTGTATGCAATAATTTCGCCAAAATCATTCTGAACCTAACGAAAAAAATATATTTCACCGTGTTTGTATTAAATTATTGTAAACAAATCTAAAATATATTTAGTTGGGTTAGGCTAAAATAAATTGCGCTTGTTACAATAAGGTTAGGTAAGTTTTCTAAGTTTCTTTTGGTGCAAAATTATAATTTTTTACATCAACATTAATGAAAAAAATATATCTTTATACGTATAAGAGAAAATTTTAGAAAGGACTTAATTTTAAATGAGTTCTTGCTAATTGACCAGTTTTACATATTCGGCACGACATATATATTGCACATTATTCTGTATACTTAAAGTTCGGTCGTCAAGTGAAACGTCCTCTTGTAACTTCTCATACAGATTATAGCATCTTTATTCCAGTTTGTAACTGATACTTCCATTATATTTTTATTTTCGTTAACTCTAGGAATACGCCACAGAATTACCTCTCCTATTCACGAAACCAACGTCTCGTTCTGTCTCGTATAGTTGGTATTATCAGTGATCTGATGATGCTTTCCACAATTTCCCCGCTAGCAATCCATTCTTTTATCACAAAAGTCTTGAGATAATAAGAGCATCGTATGAAGCCTCTCCCACGTAAGTGTCTCGAGACACTTTAAGTGTTCAATGCTCTTTTGTGATCATTTTTATAAAGAAAAGCAGAATCATGCTTGTGGTATCACGTTTTCAGCATATATTTTATATTATTGGTCAAGCGTATCCAGGGAATATAATATACGATATATGTTCGTAAATTCGAGCAGTCTGGCGCACTGTTCGTAGTTCTCAACTGCGACTTCGCGTTCTCACTCTTGATTGTAGCAAGGAAATATTCTCATATACTTATCGATTCTTTTATCGTCTCAAGAATGGTTATCAGAATATATTCTCTGCTCCCTCCATTTAGTCTTCCTTCGTAAATTCCATTATTACATTCGTATTTAGTATTTTGTTCGCCTGAAATAATCGTATCTTGTTCGTCCGATTTTTTCTTGTTCTTCTGAAGTATTTTATTGTTCGTCTGAAATATTTTATTGTTCGTCTAAATTTTTTTTTCTTGTTCGTCTGAAATATTTTATTGTTGCTCGTCTAAAATATTTTTTTCTTGTTCGTCTGAAATATTTTATTGTTGCTCGTCTAAAATATTTTTTTTCTTGTTCGACTGAAATATTTTATTGTTCGACTGAAATATTTTATTGTTCGTCTAAAATATTTTTTTCTTGTTCGACTGAAATATTTTATTGTTCGTCTAAAATATTTTTTTCTTGTTCGTCTGAAATTTTATTGTTCGTCTAAAATATTTTTTTCTTGTTCGTCTGAAATTTTATTGTTCGTCTAAAATATTTTTTTTTTTTCGTCTGAAATATTTTATTGTTGTTCGTCCAAAATATTTTTTTTCTTGTTCGTCTGAAATACCTCATTTTTGTTCGTCTAAAATAATAATTTCTTGATCGTCTAAAACAATTTTTCTTGTTCGTCTGAAATAACTACAGATACATAACTAAGATATATTTTGGCAAATTGCCAGAATATATCTTAGCATTTTCATGTTCGTCTGTCTAGATAAATATGATTTTCTGAAAGATCTTTAAGTATTATTATTACTGCAGCACAATATTACTATAAACATTTTAATTATCATAAAAATTTATTATAATAAAATCTCTAGGTGCTTAAATAAAAGTTATACACATCTCGTGAAAATTTTCTTTCCAATATACATTGGTTCAGCACTTGATTATAATTATAATTATGCCAGATATATAAACTTCTTTATTTACCTTCATATTTCTCTTTTTAGTTTAAGATTTAATTACACAATAGTGTAATTAAATCTCAAACTCCTCTTTAGAGGAGGAGTTAGAGGTAATGAGTCCCTCAACCTGGAGTCAATGTGTTCAGTCCATCAATTTTGAGAAAGGTACAGCACATTCGCGATGAGACTCGTATACTGTCGAGAGGTGAGGTAGAACAGCCTGAGTTGTTCTTAGCATGAGTTCAAAAAGGTGCCGGAAACGTTTCATAGTGATGCTGGTCCATGGTGACATGATAACATCACGCAGGTGCTGCTCTCTTGTTGATTAAGTAATTCCGAAGGGGTACCTTATGTGGTTGTTTGATTTTCTTTCTTCGTTTGTTTGGTTTATATCATGAGAAGTTTGGTTTACATCACCGCAGCAGTGAAACTGCCTCGAGTCATAGTGAAACTGCCTTAAGTGCTATTGAAACTGCCTCGAGTCACAGTGAAACTGCCTCGAGTCACAGTGAAACTGCCTCGAGTCACAGTGAAACTGCCTCGAGCCGCAGTGACACTGCCTTGAGTCACAGTAAAACACCAAAAAAAATCACTGTAAAGAATAAACTGTTTCCATTAGGCCCTTTCCAGTTGTCTGTCGTATCATGATAACTGAAAAAAATATTAACGTTGAGCAATCACGGTATGGGTGGGGATGGAACTCGCGGCAAGCAAATCGCAAAACTCCAGGCCAGCGCGTGTCCTTACAATTTCGTGAGTCTTGAACAGTCAACATGCGAGACGTGGCGTGTTCTTGATTTGTTCATCAATCCCAATACTAATAATTCTTTCCTAGCAGTGATACCCCCACACTGATAATACAAAGAGAGCGAGAGAGAGAGAGAGAGAGAGAGAGAGAGAGAGAGAGAGAGAGAGAATTTCATGCCTGAAACACCCACGTTGCATAGATACAGACACGTGTTCACCTCCAATATGCGAATGTTTCATAAATATTCAACTGAAAATTCTATGTGCACACACACAGTGACGCCTGAAGCACATATTGCACACTGGACGGCCCTACATGCAGAAAAATGCCTGGCAAAAAAATATATATAGGACGATATTCGTGTAAATCTCTGTTCCAGAAATTGTGGAATATTCCCTCACGTGTAATGAGCGAAATGAAATTGACAGAAATAGGAAATAAACTTTTTTTTGAGGGGGGGTGGGGGAATAGGAAGGGAAAAAGATTGGGTTGGATGTAATGTAGTGAAAGACTGTGGGTAAGACAGCCAGAGATAGGTAATAAGCAACCGCACATAGGAAAGTGAAACTTATGACGATATTTCGGACCGACCTGGACCATTAATTAATCCAAGTCGGACCATTGTTCCAATGGCGGTATTGTGCCTTCTTATTCTTTAATTGACAGGTAAGAAAGTATAGGTAGCCAACACCTAGGTCCCCTTAGGATGCCACTACAGCAGTCAGCTTACACTTAGGTATCCGCAGGATGCCTTCCACAGCAGTTAACTAACACCCAGGTACGCCGGAATGCCTTCCACAACAGCTCCTGACAAATGTACCTCCTCCCCCCAGAATGTTTCCCACAGCAGTTGACTAACACCCGAACACTTTCAGAAAACCACTCAGAGCAGTCAACTAATAGCCAAAACCCTCAGGATGCTACCAGATGCAACTTCCCAACATTTCAAGGAACAGTTATTGAAAATTGATTACTGTCTGGAAAAACTTTCAACCCCATCCCCGAACATCTTCCTGCTTGGTGATTTCAATTTAAGACATAAACAATGCTATAGCAGAGACAATCCCTGGAGGTAGCTCAGACGAAAAGTCACACACACATTTCTTGCAGAATCTCTGCAATAAATTCACCCTAAGCCAACAGATGGTGGAGCCAACAAGACTGAAAAACACGCTTGACCTTTTTTTCACGAATAATAATGACCTAGTAAGAAATAAATGTCAAAAGTAGTTAATTCAGATAACAACCTAGTCGAAGTCCTGATTTGTATGCACAGGGGTTCTGACCAGCAAAATGCATACAGCTACGAGAATGCCCTCGCCAAATTCAATTTCAACAACCTGAACATCAGTTAGGATCAAATAAATCATGTCCTGAACAAAACATGCTGGGAAGATATCTTAAATAACATGGATACAAACAAGTGCCTTGAAAAGTTCAACTCTTTGGCAGCTGAAGTATGCTCAAGGCATATTCCACGAAGGATAAAGAAAAGAAGAGGTAAATTGGAAAGAAAGAGACGCACCCTCTACAGTAGAAGGCAAAGAATCACAACAAGCACTGATTAGAGTAGTTGAAAATATTGAATTTATGATAAATGATTCAAACAGGATCCAAGAAAGATAGAGGGAGCTAAAAGCAATCCAGACTTGCAAGTCTCGTGTCCGTCTTGCGTTGGTTACGTGCGGCCGCATATACATACCTAAGTTGTCAGCACTATCCAACCGCGAGGCCTGGTCATGGACTAAGCAGTTGAGTAACACCCAGGTACCAATCAGTATGCCTCCCACAGCAGTTGAGTAACACCCAGGTACCAATCATAATGCCTCCCACAGCAGCTGAGTAGCACCTAGGTACACACAGGATGCCTCCCTCACCAGTTGAGTAACTCCCGGGTATCAATCAAGATGCCTCCCACACCAGTTGAGTAACACCCAGGTACACTCTGGATGCCTCCCACAACAGTCAACTAACATCCAGGTACTTGTCTAATGCTAGGTGAACAGGGGCAGCAGGAGGAGAGACTTTGTCCCAGGGAATCGAACTGTGCCTCATAATTGAGGTACAAGTCACCTTCAGTGCTTGCAAGCCTCGTGTACCAGT